GCCACTGCCCAGCTGGGCTCGGCCCCTTCCGGCACGGCCCCGCCGCGGGCCGCCACCGCCTCCTCCCTGCAGGGCTCCCCTCGGCCCCGGCGCTGCCTCTCAGAGCGTGTTTTATCTCCTGGCCGAGTTAGCGAAGGGCCCAAAGCTCCCCTCGGTCAGGCTAACCCGTGTGCATGACTCAGACCCAAAAACATACATTTCTCTACGAGTCCTGGCTCACTTGCATGCCTGACGGATTAACATTTATTCCTGTCTAGCTAGTTGTGCTTGATTAGGGGAAGGTGGGATTCCTCGCCTGCAGAGACGCAGGCGGGCCTGGCACAGCAGTGACCCTGCCCTGAAGGCGCACGCAGAGAAGTCAGTGTTACAGCCGCTCTGCCTGTGCACGTCTGTGCCAAAGGCACGAGGTGTAGCACCACGATGGGATCGCAAAAGGGGCCGGTGAAGCAGACGCTGCTAGAAGCAGGCCTAGGTTAAACTGTGGTTAAAACCCTGGTTACTCCATGCACCTTTTCTGTGTTATAGCTCCCCACGGGGAACATGAAGCAAAAACGGGAAGTCAGTAGAAAACGGCTAGTGATGGCAAAGGCACAGAGATGAAGTAAACGTCCTAGTTTATGCTGAGTCCATTGGGCAGTCAGGAGCAGGACACCAAGCCTCAATGCCTCTCCTTAATCTTATCACCTGCTTTGAATATTTCTTGATTACTTTCTCAAAATCCCTCTTTCGCTGATCTGCATTTACCTCTTCAGGATCTTCATTCCTGTTACCCAGTCAGTACTTTTGAATTTTCATGAGAAAACTGGCATACCATTGAGAAAGTTTTGCTGGGATAGAGAAAAAAGTAGACACTCCAATTGTGCCAATCAAGAGGTAACTTTGTGTTTGTCTAATTTTGCAGTCTTTTGCAAGTGTCAGGATTTGTTTCACCTGAATTAAGTCAATTTTTTGTATTTTTTTTTATTAAGATATGCCTTCTGTTAAGTGCATATGTATAGTAGGATTGGATGGTAAACATAATTCTTGGTTTGACTCTCATGATGTTTTCCAGTATGGGGCAACCTTGCTATCCTCAATGTATAACTTTCTATACCTTAAAAAGAAGAGAAACTTGATGAAGTTGAAAACACTTGCTGCCCCTAGAGATCATTATCCATTCAGGCTTAATCACTGTTTAACAGAGTACTTACTAATCCTGGTTAAGCAACAGTATTCAGCACAGGTCAGATATATCTGTTGCTGAGGCTACTTAGGAACAACAAGTAGCTCCTGGTCAGGAAGACAACCCATATGAACTTAATTCTTAATTGCAGCAGGGAACACTTGACAGAGCTTCTGCTGCCTCGGATTTGTTAGGTATTGGGCATAAACAGGAGATATGCATTTTTTCTCATATGTGTTAATGAAACAAGATTCCCATTCCTTCACATTCCATTCTTCTGTGACATTGTCCTCTCAACACAATTGACAATCTTGTGCCACTTGAGGTCAGGACAACAAAATTAACATATGTATGCTCTACATCATAGCATAACGCTTATTATTGCAGAACATAACCTTGCTTTTGTACCAATATGACTCTTTTCTGTTTGTTAAAAGCGATCTAAAAATAAACCTCAGAATTTGCCCAACCTGCTTTGCACTGTGGCATTAAGATGACCAAACTTTGGCAAGGTTTTTAGGGTTTGATCCTTAAGGTTTTGAAAACTTATAAGTGTATTATGGAGCTACTAAGTTGAACAGAATGAGTCGATTTTTTGTGGGTTCAACAGCAGAACCAAAGCCGAGGTCTTGCTGCCTAGGCTTGCAGAAACGATGGGCTGTTTAGCTGCAGAAGAAAAGGGAAATAACTTTGACACGCAACGTAGTGGTTACTTTCCTGAGTCATTCACAGGATCTGCATCTGGTTTACATTCACACACTATTTCTTACTGAGCATAAATTTCAGTAAAACCTGAGTATTTAATTAAAAAAGAAAAATCTTCTTCACTAGGGGTTTAAAGAAAACCCTTCAGCATATGAGCTGAATGATAGTGATTTTTTTTTTTTGAAATTGTAAACAGAAAGACAAAAGATAGGTGCGAAAGGAAAGATAACACCTTGGTCCCAGCAGTCTGCCAGTGTAGCCAGAATCTTCTCTTATGGACCTCTCCAGAAACAGAATTTCTTCTTGGTCACTTTTGAGTCACAAGCAGTGGTGTTTCATGTAAGAAATGCGTGGTGCTCATGCAGTGAGCTAGAGAGGACAACAGCAGCCAGAATTACAGTATGTCTTTGCTGTTGTCATACTTCTCCAAATGGTTATGTTTCTGGACCATCTGAGAGGTTCCAGCTATGCCCTCTCTTGTTCCCAAAGAGAGAATGCTTTCTGCATATGGAGAACGCCACCACTAAAAATCTTCTGGCAACTGGCCTACTGGATAAGTTGTCAAGTGATACAGGATGTATGTGGAAAGAGAAATCAAAACCTCACCCACAAGGCCTGATTTCCTATGTGCAAATTAAATAAAGGTGAAAATTAAGATCTCTTGCAGTTTGCACACTCCACTTTATGCATGCCCCATTTATGATTTGCGCGTTGAGGAAGTGTATTATTTACTGTGTTGTTACGGGCATATCTATGGTGCTGGCAGAAGAGTCATAGTAAATACTGCAATATAAGAAGCAGGTCTGAGATGTATCAGCCCTGGAAGAGAGATCTGCTGTAAACAGAACTAATCTGTGCTCTTTTTACCTTTCACCCAGTCAAAGAGATGCTCCATTTAAGTTTATAGTGTTTGTTTGGAGGTATCTTAAATTTGCACTGTGTTTTTTTTTCCCCTGTTTTTCCCAGTGAGGTAGATAGATTGGGACTGTTTGGATGGCTCCATACTTTAAATTATTTGCTGTAATTAGTTGCAGCTGTGGAGACTTTAATAAGTCCAGTTGGAATAATGGTTAAAAAGTGAATTTAGCATTGATATAAGCTTTGGATGAAAAAGCTTTGGAGGGGGGTGTCCAAATCCAGAAAAAAAATACAGGTAGTGCTTGTTACTGGATTATTATAATTTATAGTATAATTTCCAAGAAAACATTTTGAAGGCCACAGTTCTATGGTAAAAGTTCAAAATAAATTTAATTAAATCAAGGGATTTACTCCCAGTTTACACTAGTGTAAACTTGATACAAAGAGAAAAAGCATTTTTGGATGGTTTATCAGAAACCGGTTTTGGCAAAGGGAAAACAGCTTACAATTGTCTGAAATTCTCTTAAGTATAACGAGGAAAAGGGAGTTGTCACATACAGGGTATAAAATTAGAAGAAAGAACATAAAAAGTAATTCAGGTAATTGTCAAGAAAGACTGAGTGGTAAGATGACTCAGCTTCAGTGGATTTCAGTCTTTATGATTTTAATCTTTCAAAAAGAACAGAAAAGACTTACTGAATAGAGCACTTGATTTGTTTATACAGGGATTTTCAAACATGCTTCACCCTGCACTGAAATAAAACAGGGAGGACAGGATGGTGGGAAGTCAAACAGTTGGGAAACCCCACCCACTTGCAGCAAATATGTTTTTTGTCTTAAACTGAGCAGAAGTGCTTTCCATAGCAACACATTCTGAATTGGGAAAAATAAAAATAAACATATTATTGAAACTAAATGAAGAACCACGTAAACTGTAAGAGACCATGGCTCTGCTTCAACCGCTTGGATTGAATATGACTGAGGAAATCCAAGATAGGTTGATTTATTTGAGACTCGCACAGTATGAATCAAGATTTTGGAGGATGATAACAGCAATGGTTGGCTACAGTCCATCATGACAAGGTGCTGAAAGTTCTGCTGAAATGATGTTAGATTTGGACTGTGATGCAGGCCGTTATTGATATAAACAGTCCAATGCTTTTTATCAAATGGATGTAACTGACAGAGTACTCTAAGCTCAACAGGAAAGCAGCAGCAGATTGTGAAACGCTGAGCTTTTCCCTGCTTCCAGAATGTTTGGCTGAGATAGGAGCCTGGATGAGAAGGCAGTGGCTGAGGCTAAGTCCAGATAAGGAGGAGGTAATTCCAGTTGGCAGAGTAAAGCAAACAGGGGCTTTATCTTTTCTGTATAAACACATTTACTGAAATTATGCATGCAGGCTTAGTAATTCAGCATGGAAAGGGCTTAGAAGCTATCTCATAGACAACTTGTGTACAGTTACTGCAATTGTATGTGCAGTCCTGGAGATGGCACACCTGGATTGTGTGTTATTTCTGTACTTAATTCTTTAAAAAAATTGAAGGATTCCATTTTTCTTGTAATTTCTTTCTAAAGGATAGGAAAAAAAGTAAGCCCTTCAAGTCTGCTCTGGCAATAATTGCTAGAGTGAGGGTATATTCCAAAGGCTTAGAACTCGCAGGCAGAGCATGTCCAGCAGCTCAGCCTCTGCCATATTAAAACGTGCCTAGCATCACTACCTCCATGCATTGTTACCAGGTACCACAGCGCTTAGTACAGGCATCCACTATGGTACTCCATGTTACTAGGAATTTTTGCATACATGTCATCCCTCTCAGCAATGCTTCGGCACTTCTTTCCCAGTAAAATGCAGAATACTTTTGTCCTTGTGGGGACACAAGGAGAATCTGGGAAAGGCACCAAGAAATGCCAGCCTTTGAGCGGTTTAATCTGCATTCTCATAGCAAATGGCTGAGTTAACAGCTGAGTGAAAACATCACCACCCAGCTTGGTAAGAGGCTTTTTATGTGAGTGGGAAGGAGGAGAGGAAGAGGATAAGAGATGATGCTTGAGAAAATGGTGAAGTTAACTCTGCACTCAAGACATTATCTAAGAGCTCAAGATTTCGAATTTACTAGACTTCGGAGTATGACCCATTTCTTTGATCAAGCCTTTGTCCCTGAAGGGGCTGTTTGTACTGTCTACTCGGAATAGCTGAAAATAATTCAATGTGCTTTTTGCTTTGAATATGTGTTATTCACAGAGTCTAAACACAGAGGAACCCACAGGCTGGTTTAGTCAGATGTAGCGTTCACTGACAGCAGAAACTAACCATTCCAAAGACAGTGTTTTCCTAATTCAGTTTGTTTTGGCATTTTCTGCATGAATGTCGTGGAGGAGAGAATGATTTAAGTAACAAATAGCATCTGTCTTAAATAGAAGAGAAGAATGTAAGTAAAAACATTTAGATTTGCAATTGTAGTTAATTTAATGGGCAGTAGCATTGTGATGGAATGGCCTTGTATGATCTCTTCCTGGAGAGTTTGATTGTTAATGTGAAATGAGTTTTAGTTTCTCACTGCAGCTCCTGATGGATAAATGTCCTCAACAAGAAAAGATAGCATCATTTGGTCCTTTCTTGGGGAACGATAATAATCAGATGTCAGATAATCCTGAAATAATTAGTTTCTCCATCACATGTTGAAATCTAGAGATCTCATCTCTTCCCTGCTTTGCCTTTTACTACATCGAACTATTTCAAATGATTTTTCTACAGTAATATGTTACTCTAGATGACACAAAAATTTAACATTTAATTACACTATGTTCCATTTTACGTTTCTATTTTTTTCACTTCTATAGGCCATAAAGTTTTCTGCTATATTAATACTAAACAAGTAGAAGAATTAAAATTCCTGTGTAGGGACTCTGTGCTGCTGATGCATGTATTTCACTTTTTTAATGAACGTTGATTTATATTGTCTGTGCAAGTTCTCAAATCGGTGGTCATTGGAGTTAACAATGAACATTCACTCACAATCTTTGTTTCTGTTACTATGTCTTCAAATACAAAAACAGAGAAAGAATAGCGACAGAACTTTCCCCCCACTATTACAGTGCCTCGGTTCTCTGGATTTCCCCTGTGAAGCAGTAATTCATGTCACCACACATGGGCAGTATTGTAGGATCCCAAGCCTTTGTCTTACTGGCACAAGGGTTGGTTTTAGCTGTTGAATCTTTGACACAGAAAACACTTGCTGGTGAATTACAGTCTACATAAAATAAAGGTATAGACATTGCTTGTGACTATTAGAATGTGAAATAAGGTATTGAATAATGCATTTCTTGCATTACTTGATTTTTGTGATTAGATAGCTACCGCTTATACTATCATATTTAAGAAATCAAAGACAAGTAAATTGCTAAATGGGGTCAGCTTATGCCTACTGCACAATAAGGGCTCTAAGCAAAGAAGCACAGGTTACGATAATTGGCTTCAGCTCAAGTCCAGTAAGAAGGAACTCACCAGAGAATCACCCCAAGTCCTCAAACAGTCAAATAAAGGGAGGCCAGCTAACCAAGCAAATCATTCGGATAATTATAGTATTGGTTGCTCAGATATGGATGTTGTGTTAAACAAACTTGTACTCTGACAGGTGAACTGTAGTCTGATTTCTTGAGGCCGAAAGAGTCTTACTGAAACTCTAAAGTGAGGGTAGCAATTCAGACTTTGTGCTTTGGGCACAATTAATGTGAATCAAGACAAGAGTTAAAAGCCTAAGTTCCCTGTATAATCAGAAAGAGGTAGATACCAGCTGGAGTGTAACTGAGCATTTAAGTTAAAGCCCCTCAGACAGAGGATGCTGGACTACATGGACTGCTGGTGTTGGTAGACCAAACCAGTCCCAGTTTTGAAAAAACAGAGTCTTGCTTCTGGGATCTAATTTAATGCTTATGGAGTAGCTATCATCCCATATGTGAAATCCAAGATAAGATGCAAGATTTGATTTGGATATACAATAAACATGGATTCATTTTGGTAGCTGGTTTTGGTTTATTTTGCAAATGGAAATCTCTCACAGTATGTTCTCTCATATATACACGTCTGTGTGAGTGGGTGTACACACAGTTGCACAGGCTTTTAAACAGCCTGCATACATTTAATCTGAATTTGTTAGAAATGCTGCTGTTTTATAAGGTTGAATCATTCTGTTTTTGTAAGCAATACAAAATTTTTCTTTGAATAAATGAACAACGTCTTCTTTTTTTTTATTTTAATGGGGGGAAAAATTAAGTTTCTGAGCATGTGTGCAAAGGAAATAAAGCTGGTAGGGAAGGAAGTAGAAGTTTGAGAGACTCCCAAACTGTATTAAGAAACCTCTACGCAGGTCAGAAATGGGAAAAAATATGGTCATGGATACATATGACTCATTTAAACTTTGTGTTAGGAATATGTTAACAGCTATTTCTTGTGGATGTTCCACTAGTAACAAGATCTAATGCTAAACTTGCTTCTAAAAAAACCTGGACATCTCTTACCAATTTAAAAGGCATATTTTTTTTAAATGAAGGTGTTTTACTACGCAGTGTTGTAGTAATAAGTCATGCCACTTGACTGGATTAGCCATTCTGTCTGTTTTATGGAATTAAGTGCAGCTTTATTCAGTAAAGGCTATTTTCAGAATATAACCAAGCAACCTCACGTTTTCTCTTCTGAGTAGCAAAATAGAAAGTTGAGAGCGAGAAGAATTCTGAAAATTGTTGCAAATGCTATTTATGTCTTTATAAAAACTGCTCTGGATTACTTCTGATGTGCTGAGTGATAGGGAAACTTGCGTGCTACATATTATATAAAGCATCCACGTCTAGCGTAAACACAATGCAGCGCAGCACTGCACTTGGCAGCTTATCTACTAGCTTATTAAGACGCTAGTCACTCAGTGGCAGAACGATTATTTTGGTGTCATCTTCCAAAATGCACTTGAGTGTAGAGCTATTAAACGCTGATAAAATTGTTGACTATTTCTTCCAGCTTTCAGTGTAAACAAAGCCCTGTATTAATCCCCACTATGCTTTATGCCTGCTACATAAAATTGTTTTCTCATCACAACATAAAATTTGTTGTTTGATAATTTAAAGAGAATCACATCTCAGTATTCAAGGAGGTATATGGCTGTCCTTTGAGAAAAGTTAGTAAGATAAACTTACAGAGTGAAAAAAAATATTTTGGACAAAAGACATTTTCTAAATGTAAGAAATTACTCTTTACTGTTGCTCCAGCTGACGTTATCTCCGCACAAGTCAGTAGACATGCAGTCTCTGGCTGGCCTCACCACAAATCATACTTGTGGATAAGTTAATCAGTATTTTAAATAACTAAATCTTTGACATATTCCGGTAGTATTTTACATTTCAGTAAGTGGTTTATTGTAGATCTCCTGTATGCCACATTTGGAGGGTTTTATGGTTTGTACTTCTGTTAGGCCTAATTTTCAAAATTAAACATTGCAGCATCTAATCAAATTCAGTCACTCAGAATCAATTTTGCCCTAAACGTGCTTTGATTTACATTTCTAAATGCAGCTTTCATTGAAACCAGTCAAAGCCTTGCATGACAAAATTAAAAATTAATTGTTGTATAGTCTGTTTCTTCATTATGGTTACAATTTAGAAGCACAATCAGCCCAGTCATACAGACACTGCAGAAATATCAAAGAATTATGTTTTAATCCTGCACATATAGGGAGCTCATGCAATTCAATGACATTTCTGTCTCTAGTTTCTCTCATTCTATTTCAGTCACATTCTGAAATTCCCTTTTTTGATTTTAGCCAACAAATAAGAAAGAAGTGAGAATAAACACTTAACTGTCCTCGCTGTCTTTGTACCTTTTTGCATCTCACTTACACAGGCATCAGTACTGTTTTAATAAAATGAAATACACTTACGTGCATCATTCCTGTTTTTGCGAGTGCAGGTGGCCAAACTGCAGAGTCGTGCTGGCAATGCTGATGGACTCCAGATAGATTTCAGCTGCTTGTTTAAGTGTGCCAGGGTAATTGTCTTCACACTATTCATTACTATCATCTTGGCACTTGAGATCTTCAGTTAGTCAAGCAGCCAGAGGAGCGTTCCAAAGCCTGGCAAGCTATCAGCACAAAATAGAGAAAAAAATGCTCTGAATATACAGCTTCAGGATAACCAAGGGATCTCCAGACCTACTTATAACAAAATTTTGAGGGCATATGGCATGGCCAGAGAGGGGGAAGCTAACCAAATAGTTAATTTTCAACTTGTCCCTGGACTGGCTTCTTCATTGGCTCTACATTTTGTTGGAGGCAGGGCTAGTTGATGATTGTTCTACATGTGCTTTTCAGGCCTTTTTTTTCATCTGGCTCCAAGTATGCTGAAGAGTTGGAGAAACCACTCTTTTGTATGCAAGCAGAGGTTTCTTATCTTGTCCTCATGAATACGTTCTTTAAATTTGAATACTTGTGTGATAGCTAACAATTGGGATTGTTAACAGTGGCAATTCTCAGGACTGGCCGCTGGCTGCTCGAGGTGAGGAATTCACAGAAATCTAGTAGATACACAAAGCTTGCACAGGAGAACAGGAAGGGGAGCAGCCTTCTGCAGGCAAGCACTTTAGCTCTGAGCGTCATGTGAAACAGTACTATTGCAATTTCACGATAAAGAATTTGTGCCTCTGAAATATAAAATGTTCCATAAGAAGGATAGTTTCACAGCAACTAGAAACTGGGACAGACATAAGGAACCCTCATTACCCCTCCACTCACTTTAGCTCAGATATCACTTTGACACAGGTGAAGTGCTTCTTCATCAAGGAAGAGCAGATTGAGAATTTTTCCTGTCCTATGTTTCTTCAGGATAAGAGCATAAAAATATTATTCTCCTATTTCCATAGCTTCCCGATAACTTGCTTATCTTGTGTGATATATCTGTATATAAAACCCTTTCTTTCGTTTTCTTTTCAGCATGTTTATATTGCTGCTTTGCTCTTCCCACCATAGCTGTAACGTCCATAAATGGTACAAAAACAATTAGCTTCTCAGTTAGAGCGGTGTTTTTTCAGACCAAACAGAGAAACAGAGGCAAGCAATTCATTCTTCATTCTCAAGAGACTTTTCTTAGTGTTACGGATCACTTACAATCTGGCCAGGGAGCAATGCAGATGGACAGACATTAGAAAAGAATGCTTGGGCATGCCAGGGAGCAGCAAGAGCCAGCTGCTCCTAAAGTGCAGGGGAACAGGGAACTGAGGGTGACCCCAGCACAGGCAGACCCTCATCAACAAGGCACAGTCCCAAAGGGGCTAAGCACAGTAGGCAGAGTCAGGTGGCAGCAACTGGGTCCATCAGTAGTCCCAAACAAGGAAGCAAAACAGGTCCAAGGTCCAACCAGAGAGTCCAGGCAGGCTCAAAAAGAAACACAGACAAGCTATAGCATAGATCCAAAGTCCATTCAGGAGCCAGGACCAAGGACAAGCCTGACAACAGGCGTACTGACAACAGTACCTTAGGACCACCAGGCCTGAGCTTAAATGGGGCTCCAAGGCCCATGGGCAGGGTGTGGGTGGATGCACCAGGTGAGGCTGGTCAGGGCCCTGACAGCACAAGGGTTTTATGGGTCCTTTAATAATTCTCATGTAAGTACTTGGAAAAGTCACGTGATTATTTTCCTCTGTTAGGTGCACAGGGGAGCAAAATTTGGGCAGTCACATATTTTGAAAACTACAGAATCTATCAACGACAGAATAAACAAAAATGAACATACTATTAACGTTCTGCCATTAAAAATCATTTCCTTCTTAATCCATAAAATTGCATGTGATGCCTTCTTAAGAGTTTTAATGTTGTTTCTTTTTAATTAACTTTAAAAAATGATGGTGTTTTGAGTTAGGAACTTATTTGCTTGCTGATATTTTCATTAAACACGTGCCTATCTGACATCTCTTATTGCAGGGTGTATGTGGAGCACAAAGCTCATGCGCTGGGAATTCTCTTTGGTATCCTACAGTTTAGGAGATGTCTTAATGCTTGTCATTTATTACCTCTGCTGCCTACTTCTGAGTGTCTAAGAGCAAGCCATTGTCAGCTAGGGATTCTGCTTACAGAGGAACTACAAACTTATACTTTCATTGCTGCTCATAATTGTGGATATTTACGTATCTGGAGTGTCACTGTGTGCAATGGAAATCCACTTCGTCTTCACAGAAACTAGAGAGGTAAAATCCAGAAATTTCCTCCTGTCGCTAGCCATTTGACCTTTGCTGTAAGTGCCTCCAGATTGGATGGAGAGAATACTGGATAGAGAGTATTTGTTTTCTTTCTGGTGTTCACTAGAGGGTTGCCAATATGTACATTCTGGTTAACTTCAAATGAATACTGTTAGTTACAGGGAGAAAATGACCTCATTGATTTATGTCATGGTTCTACAATTGTCCTACTCAGTTGCAGCGAAAGAGCGAGCTTGTGGTACATTGGGGAAGTGACTGCAGCGTGTGCAGTCATGCTTGGACTAGTCTACTGGATGGATGTCTGCAGCTGAAGAGAAGAATATTCCTGTCCTAATGTTGTCTCATTTTCAACATTGGCAAGTCAAACCCAACAATTCAAAGAAAAGGTAGTCGTACAGTTTTACTGTAATTAGGAAGATACAATTAAAGTGATTTAATAATTAACATTTTCCTCATCCAGTTATTGTTGTATAACAGTGACAGGATGATCAGTCGAGCTGCCTGGGCTAGCACTGTTGCTGAAGAATCCATGTGATATCTCTGCGGAGTGGCTAAAAATATCACTGAGGGCAGCTTCGCTGAGCAGTCACGTAATTACTATGTGGGCTTTAACACTTGTATTCTCTGTGGATTGGCACACTCTTCCCATGAGTTCCATGTGACTTCAGGCTAAAGGAAGCTTTTCTATCATGTCCAAAATTTGCTAAAACACTTGCTAAGGCAGCTGATCTCTTTGGCCCCCTAACAATCGCTACTTCCTCCAATTTGTCATTCTCTCTTGTACTGTGGGGCAAAACATAGGATATAGTATTCCAGATGTGTCCTCACAAGCACTGTGTAGGAGGGAAGAGTGACTTCCCTTTACGTGCTGGCCACGCTCTTGCTAACGTAGCCCAGTACGCGGTTAACCTTCATCACTGCAGAGGTGCGTCGCTGATGCGTGTTCCGCTTGTCCAGCAGGATCTGTAGGGCTTTGCTCCAGAGCTTTTCTCCCTAGGCAGTCAGGCTCTAGGTTGTACTGATGCATGGAGTTATACCACCAGCCCAAGTGCAGGACTTTGCATTTGTCTGTGTTACACTTCATGAGGTTCCAGCTGACCTAGCTCGTCCGAACTGCTCTGAATGGCAGCCCTACCTTCCAGCCTATCAGCAAATCTGGTGTTATATGCAAATGTGCAGAGGAGACAGTTTGTCATTCTGGTCACTGATGAATATTTGTATTTAGTTAATTTTACCTCTCACACCTGAATTAATTGGGTTATACTGCAAATAATTTTGAACATGTGTCTAGATGAATGCAGGTCCAGGATTAAGAGATGGCCAAATTCTGCTTAGAATGATAGCATTAATGGTATGTTGATGCTATATAACATTTTGTGTCTAGATTTCTAAAAAGAAAAAAAAAACTATATGAATGTGAGGACTACACACGGAATGAAAAGGCAGTTCTCAGGCAATCCAGTTTAAAGAAAAGGATAAAATCCATTATCATCACTAACTGTGATGAACTCCACTTCAGGTTTTTCATAATCTCAGTGAATTAAAAAGGACTGAAAATGAGAACGGTACCTCACCAACTAAATATGGGCTATGGCAAGCCTCAGCTTAGCTGGGCAAACTAAAAAATACTGGGCAAAGATACCAGCTGTGTATCAGAGGGAAAAGGCCAGCGGAAGCAGTGGTGAGTGCGGTCCTCGGAAGATCACAGCAGGGCAAAGTGCAAATGCAGAACTTGTTGGAATGGCAGATTTCTGAGAAGGGGAATAGCCTCCTATCGTTTCCCCCCACTCCGAGGTATTCAGGGAAGTGGAACAGTATGTAAATAAATAAGAGAACATTGAGGTCATACCTGACCCTTCTCACCTTCTTTCTCAGTCTATCAAAAATTACCTTACAAGACCCTGAATTTTGACCAGCTGGGTAGGCCAAATATGTAACAATGTTTTTCTTTCTGCTGAGGGAATTCAAGGCCCCCTTCTATCCTCATTCATGCAAATCAGGAGTATCTTCACTGAAATAAATGGGGTTTACTCGGCGTAAAACAGAATTGAGATCTATGGGAAAGAAAATTATTCCTACAGAGTTCCTATGGCGAATACTCTGGAGTTACTCCTATGCCCTGATCACATCTGTTTTCTTCATGCCTTTGTTTCTATATTCACATGCTCAGCAGTGAATATAATCATGAATGCCTGTCACTTGTTTAAACAAATGCTTTGTTTGGCAAGCTTTGTTTTCCTGCTGCTGCTGCAGCTGCAAATTTGTGTGCACAGTGTGTTAATTTTTTACCTTTGATGCTATGGTAAGTTTTTTATCTAACAACAAAAATGAGGAAAGCAATGAATGAGATACCAATCTCTTGTGATCCATACAAAACATGTGAAAGCAGCAACTTCCTTGGGAAACAATAGTAAATGAATGCGGATACAAAGGTAAAATAAGATAGATATTTCCTGGGACCAAATGATTCTTCATAACACAACAGAGAAAAGTTAGCACATATTTAAAACGCGAGAGAGAAATACTAAAAAATGAGGATGAAAAAGGAGAAAAAGTAAAACAAATAAAATATTTTGCTATCCAGTTTGGGACAACAAACCAACAGGGCAACAGCATGTATTTTCTTTTATAAAATTAAAAAATAAAATTGATATATTAGCACCCTGAAGTACTATTCATTTTTCTAAGGAGGAAAAGAACAAGAATGGATTCGACCCCAACCACATCGGTGCTTGGAAAAGTTACCATGGGTTAAGCCACAATATACCTTAGCGTGTATCAGCTTCTCCTTGGTGCTTGCTCACGTGCAGTCTCTTAGACCATGGTAAAGTGAAGAGCTCATTCGCTAACGGGGGACCCACAATGAATTTCCTGACATTTATTGCACAAATATTCAGGTAAGCACATTCCTGAAAGCTCGTAGAGCTTAGGGGTTTTTGCAGAGCAAAGGAAACACTTGATTATGTGTCAGT